ATATACAATTATTAATTTAATTTTGGAGCCACACATAAATATTAAGATGAAACAATAAGGAAATAGGTTTCTATAAGTAAAAAATGAACAATTATACCGTCAGCATGGTTAGATGCTTGGAAATTATTGTTGCCTAGATATAGAGATTTGAGAGATGAAAGCTCACTCAAAGATGATAAGATACTATTGTTCAATTGATTGTTATATAGATCAAGAATTTCTAGATTCCTTAATTTAGAAAGCTTCTCGAAACCTGCAAAATATACAATTATTAATTTAATTTTGAAGCCACACATAAATATTACGATGAAACAATAAGGGAACATGTTTCTATAAGTAAAAAAAAATGGACAATTATACCATCAGCACAGTTAGATGCTTGGAAATTATTGTTGCCTAGATATAGAGACTTGAGAGATGAAAACTCATTCAAAGATGATAAGATAGGATTGTTCAATTGATTGCTATATAGATCAAGAATTTCCAGATTCCTTAACTTAGAAAGCTTCTCGAAACCTATAATATGCACAATTATTAATTTAATTTTGGAGCCACACATAAATATTAAGATGAAACAATAAGGGAACAAGTTTCTATAAGTCAAAAATGTACAATTATACTATTAGGATGGTTAGATGCTTGGAATCCATTGTAGACTAAATATAGACACTTGACAGATGAAAACTCACCAAAAGATGATAGGACACTATTGTTCAATTGATTGCTTTTTAGATTAAGGATTTCCAAATTCCTCAACCTAGAAAGCCTCTCAAAACTTGCAAAAACAATTTTTTGCAACGTTTGAGCTAATTACTAATTCAGTTTTGGGAGCCAAAATATAAAAATTTGAAGCTACACCAAAAAATATATAAAGGTAAAGCCATAAACAAATGGGTTTTTTTTTTTTTGTAAGTAAAAGATGAAATTAAGTAGAAAGACAGATTAAAACCTTCATTTTCCATGCAACCAGCTATTCCATTTTCAGCCAAATGGAGACCCTTCAATTCCACAAATGGAAGAAACAAAGACGCATTTAGATACATGACATTCTCCAATTCTATATAGCCATTCGGT